CAGAGCACAAGGGCAAAGTCCTTTGCCACCCAGTCTTAAAGCAAAGCACCTGGCATGGAGCAGGCGACCAAGTCACAGCTGTGCACGGGACACCAGGTGCAAACAGGCAATGGGACGTGTGAGTCCTGTGCTCCGTGAGCCTGCCGGGTGACACTCCTGCTGCTGGGCTGTGGGACGCAGGAGCAAAGGGCACATGTGAGCTGGGGGTGAGGCTGCACTGAAGGTGCCGTCTGTTGCCATGGAAACAGAACACTGTAAGGCTGGGGGGACTGATTTCAGGAACCCTGAGAACTAAGCCTGTTCTCTCCCTGAGTTTCCCACAGCCCCCAGCGGTTCACCGACACACAGGACACTTGTGTGCCCACGTGTCAGCACCACTCACTGCTGAAAAGCAAGATGCAAACCACATGGCTTCCAACTACAGTGTGACTCCAAACACAAAGTCCCCTATGAAGCCTCGGGAACAAGACCCGGCAGGCGTGGCGGCCACAGCTACGGCTTCCCTTTGACAAACGCAGTGTTGCACAGGAGGCTGCCAGCTGCCAGCCTTCGGCAGTGGCCCCAGGACACTAATAACGATGATTAGACACCTCCAAGCTAATCAATGCTGGCAGGAGTGACATCTCAGCTGACTCAGCTCCCACAGACTCAGGCCGCACCTGTGCAGCTGGAGGGGTTTCTTTCCATCTTTAGCAAGGATAGCACTAACACCAACTGAAACCAAAGTTTGGGTGTTACTTTAACAGAGTAATTTTCGGTGGAAAGCCTTCATTTCCTTAGAGATCACAGAACTGGGAAATTCCAAAAAGCCTTGACCATGGACCAAGAATGTAGCCTGAAAGAATGACCTCCAATTTGTGGTAAGGCAAAGCATTCACAAGCGTGATCTGAGTGGGGGCTGCCTTTGAAACAATTGTATTCTTTTACCACAGACTACATTAGCTCTGACTTTAAGTCTGTCAACATAATGAAGACAAAGACACACACACACACACACACACACACACACACTTCATGGTGCCTTTTGGAAATCCAAATCAGTGCGTCCTTGGGTTACTCAGCGAGCTTTCTGGGACAGAAGCCAGCAAGTGCCCGGCTACAGAGTGACTAACCTCCTCTGTGACCTAGAGGGTGCTTCTTGGGTGCAGGGCCAAGCTCTGGGCTGCAGACCTGCGACAAAACAGGAGCCACAGGGGATTCCAAACATGTGTGGCCTGGCAGAAATGGAGCCAGACGCTTCCCCAGACCAGATGCACTGCGGACAGCACCACACTGAGAGCTGAGCCAGGCACACGCACGCCACACGCATTACAAAACTACAGAACTACCACAGGTTCTCCACGATTCATGGCATTTGTCTCACCTGGGTTTCCAAGCTTTAACAGATGCCCGTTTTTAGCTTAGGGCAACAATTCTCACTTATGGGAACAAAATTCTCTATAACTCTGCCCCCCACAACACAGACACATGTACACACACGTGTGTGCACACACATGCATGCACACCCCTGAAATGGAAGCCTTCGAAAGTTGACACATCAAGGTTCCACAGCACAACCATACCATGCAAATTTGTGTTAAAATACTGAGAGTTTTGCTCTTTTGAGCACCTTAAGGAACCCCTAACTGAGAACATTTGTGCAATAAGTCACTAGGAAGACTAATCTAAGCAACTAGTATGCTTTTGATCCACTGATGCAGCATGTGTAGCTCGCTTCCCTCCTGGCCTTAGCTGCCTTGGCACAAGGCAATGACCCCTCTTTCCGTTTTCACAGACCTTAACCTCCTCCCTCTTCTGTTCATATTTTAGCAATATCACTGAGTATGCCTTTTCAAACAGCACTGGGAAAGAGGCCAGGGATAAATGCATTTCGAATGCCAACCAAAAAAGTAAGCAAATGTTGCAATTATTTCTATTATTAAAAAAGAGAGTTTCAGGGCTGGTGCTGTGGCACAGCAGGTTAACGCCCTGGCCTGAAGCACTGGCATCCCATATGGGCACCGGTTCTAGTCCCGGCTGCTCCTCTTCCGATCCAGCTCTCTGCTATGGCCTGGGAAAGCAGTGGAAGATGGCCCGGGTGCTTGGGCCCCTGTACCCACATGGGAGACCTGTAAGAAGCTCCTGGCTCCTGGCTTCGGGTCAGCATAGCTCTGGCCGTTGCGGCCTTCTGGGGAGTGAACCAGCGGATAGAAGACCTGTCTCTACCTTTCTCTGTAACTCTTTCAAATAAATAAAATAAATATTTAAAAAAAAAAGAGTTTCTTTGATCTTATGTCACCCTTTAATCAAAACGTGGTATTTAAGGGCCAGGCACTTGGTGTGGTGGTTAAGCCACTTAGGATGTCCCCACCATGTATGGGGTGCCTGGGTTCATTGCGTGCCTCCCTCTCCATTCCAGCTTCTGGCTAAGGTGCTGAGATTTGCTTCCTGGGTAGAGCAGGAGTCCCGAGGGTGTGTGCAGAGCCGTGCCACCTCGCTTCCCTGGCCCTTTGTCAGCACCCTGCTCCCGGGAGGACGAGGGGAAAGAGGGGCGCTGTGCTCGCGACGCCAGGGCAGGTTGCTGCTTCTGGAAAGGCTGCCCAGGCATCCCGTGTGCTCCGAGAGAGGTCGTGACGGCTCGAGTACTTGGGGCCCTGCCACCCGCATGGGAGTCCAGGACTGAATTCCAGGCTCCTGCCTTCGGCGTGGCCCAGCCTCCCATGTTGCCGGTATCTGGGGAGCAAACCAGCAGATGCAAGATCTCTGCTTCAAACTAAATAAAAAATATGTAAAAAGCAGTATTTCAGAATTACCATGAACAAGCTAAAACACACCAAGAGCAGGCCTGGGCTCACTGACTTCAGCAGACCTCAGTTCCTTGATTTTTACCAAGAACCAGGAACAACAGCCCCTGAATGCAAACCTGTCACCTTTCCATGCCAGGGGAAGAGCCCTGTGCTGAGAGCTGTATGTGCTCTGCTCTGTGTCACCGATGACTCACTGCCTTCGTCTCTTCCCTGTGATCACGACGGCAGCCGTGAGGTCAACGCAGACTTTCTCTTACAGGTGAAATGCAGTACAAACATAAGAGATTAGTAGCATCCTCCTTAGAGGCCCACGCGATTCCTTCTAAAGAGCCTAGGGACTTCTCATGGCCAAGACTTCACTTTCTAAACTCAGTTTCTTTGGCAGCCACGTGATGCAGGAATTTATCCCAGGCCTCTTTCCCAGTGCTGGTTGAAAAGGCATCCACAGTGACGTTGATAAAATACAAAAGGAAGAGGGAGGAAGTTAAGATCTGTGAAACGGAGAGACGCGCCATCGCCTTGTGTCAGGGCAGCCAAGGCCAGGTTACATAAACCCTCAGAGATGCAGGCACCAAATAATGCAAGCAAGCACTGTATGCATAATACACTATTTATACCTCTTTTCATTTGTTCACATTGAGAGGTAAACATCGACCCATCCAAAATACTTGGTGAAAAAACAAAAACACAATGCAAACTGAGCTTTTAAAAACAGCTGGTGATCCGGTTGCCCCTCTTCCTGTCCAGCTCTCTGCTGTGGCCCGGGAGGGCAGTGGAGGATGGCCCAAGTGCTTGGGCCCTGCACCCACATGGGAGACCAGGAGGAGGCACCTGGCTCCTGGCTTCAGATCAGCGCAATGCGCCAGCCGTAGAGGCCATTTGAGGGGTGAACCAACGGAAGGGAGACCTTTCTCTCTGTCTCTCTCTCTCACTAACTCTGCCAAAAAACAAACAAATAAACAAACAAAACCAGCTGGTGAGGAGTTCTCCAGTGCCTTGGGGCCAGCTGATCCAAACAGCACACCACACGCTCTAACTCATCAGTTCCACATGGAGGAGCTCCTGAGCCAAACTGATCCGGAGCTCCGGAACACCAGCACAGCTAACTGGATGCGCCAGCTTCCAGGGTAACTGACTGTTCACAAGGAAACTCCGCTTTACCCATTCCTTTAGAAAATCTTTCTAAATGGAACACTTCCCTAGCCCGGCTCGACAAGTAGAAATGCCAAATATAATTCCTGCGGTTTTGGTGACTCGGGATGTTGCGACGCCTTGGGCTCCTCTGGAGCGCACAGGATGCCTGGGCAGCCTTTCCAGAAGCAGCAACCTGGCCTGGCGTCGCGAGCACAGCGCCCCTCGTTCCCCTCGTCCTCCCGGGAGCAGGGTGCTGACAAAGGGCCAGGGAAGCGAGGTGCACGGCTCTGCACACACCCTCGGGACTCCTGCTCTACCCAGGAAGCAAATCTCAGCACCTTACGAATTCCCTGTTTGGACCCTTTTGAAACATCAACAACACAAAAGAAAATCACTCCTGGAGATGATTTCTAAAACCAGGAGAGGTCCAGATTTCGCCAGTGAATCTAACTGCGCTTCCTACATTAATTCTTAATTGCTTGAACAATCTTTTACGACGGTATCGAAAGCAAGTGAGTTTTTCCAGCTTCTGGCTGCTTAGCTCCCCAAGGCCATGAGCAGGAGGTGCTAGGAAGGTCTCCTTCCGATTTTCTCAGGCCAGGCCAGTGCTTCTTCCAGGCAGGACCCAGTGCCTGGAGGTCCACAAGAGGGTCCTAGGTGGCCACAGCACGGAATTAAATAACACTGAATCACAGTGACAAAGCCGTTCCCTCACAGTGTTCTTTCAGCCTTTGCTTAAGCCACGGGAGAGTCTCGGCTTGGTGCCGGGCAGCATCGTACTCATTGCCACGAACAGCAGGCCTCTTAGATTCAGAGCCTGCAGAGGCACCAGCATCTAGCTAGACTTGGATCATTTTTTATGTTAATCTTATTTGTGTTTACCTTTTATTTATGACAAACTGATACTGGTTACTGATTTTCAACTTGGAATATGACTTGTTTCTTTTAAAATACTTTAAAATTTAACCGATTACGTAAAAGTGTATGCAGTACTTAAATGACTAAAGTTCGGGGAACAATGGCTCTAGTCTAGTGAGTCCAATTTTTTAAGTGCCTTCAAAAGAAATGACAAGCATGGTCTAGAAGGAAACATGTCACTGTATTTGCAATATTTGTGATGTTGCAGGGATGAGCTCACCACAGCCTCCTCTTAGACAAGATTCAAGCAAAAATATAAAAGTAAAAGAGCCGATTCCATACCATCCTGGACTTTACAAGCTCTTGGTACCGTTATGTGTGCAAATAATCTGATATTTAGCAGAGTCATCTGTTGAAAACATAAACGTCCCAATTTCTGCAGCGTCTTTCTACTCAGTCTGTACTAATGCCTCACAAAGGCAAACTCAGGTTGTGGCACGCGGGCTCAGTCCTCAGGGCAGGTTCCACACCCGTGTTTTGTTTTTTTGTTTGTTTGTTTTTGCATGAATGCTTCAGCAAGGATTCAGGTGGCATCTGACTGTGCTTCCTGTTCCCGTCTGCAGAGACAGGCCTCCGCCTCACGGCCAGGGATCCTCGGGGGCCGGGGGAGCTTTCCCGGCAGGTCTTGCACGCTCACAGCATGCCATGCTAACTGAAGAAGTGGAGAGTAGGCGAGAAACGGAGCAGGGCGTCTCCTTCGCAGTGAACAGCTTCTCCGTCACAGTGGCAGGCGGGAGGTGCTTGCTCCTCTCCCCGGGAGCCAAGGCAGCAGGTCTGAAGGCAGCGCTCAGACGTCGTAGTCCGGAGCCTTGCCCTGGGCTTGCCTGAGCCAGATCTGCAGGGTAACAAATGCTCCCACCGTCACGTGAAAGAAAAGCTGCCAGAGGTTGCGCAGTTCATACAGATACATGTTGCACAGACAGATCAACCCGAAAGTCAGAAACGACTTGACGTTCCGCCAGCTGGTGTAGTACACAAGTAGATAACACTGTTCGAACAGAAGAAGGAGAGGTGATTAGGCTACAGGAAAACAGACAGCTGTTTCTAACAGAAAAGTAGAACCAGCCAGAGAGGAAAACTCTGACAAGGGAGGAAGGGTATTTTTCATCCGGTGGTAACAGACCATATCTGACACCCAGCTACACGGCTGGAAAGGGAACGAGATCCTTCCTTGCACGGCGTCCACCTTTTCAGAAGGAAAGCACTTTGCATCCCATTTTAAATGGAGGCACAAGGGGTGACTCCCTTGCAAAAGGCTGGGCAACTGCTGAGGGCACAGGCGCCTGACTAAGCAGCGTTGCCGGGTCTGAGAAAGTCACGCGCACCTGACCGAGGCTCACCCAGGCTGCTCAGGACAACGCAACTCACAGAACCTCAGGCTGCATGTCAATGACATCAACAAAACCGTACTGGTCCCCACGGGGTGCAAGGAACGCGGTGAGCAAAGCCTGAGGGAGCTTCTGAGGGAGAATCCAGTGAAAGTGGACAGAAGCCCTCAACCAGCTGCTGCGAGAACAAAGCCCTCACGCGCACACAGCTTACGTTCCAGCGGGGCGGATTATAAACGGACTTTAAATACAGCATCTAAACAGCCACGTCATGGGAAAGACAAAGCAAGGAGGAGAGTGAGCGAGATGGGCTGGTCAAGGCTCCCTGGCATGCACCCTCGCTGCCTGCGTTTTCTCCACAACACACCCACACACACGGGGACGACGCGCCCATGCCGCTGTCCTGCAGAGCCTTCCAAGGAGGTCTAAGTTTCATTCAGGATGACATTTTTACTGCTTCACTCATTTATCTCCAGTGCTCAGGACAGGACTCGGGACACGACGAGTGCTCCGTGATGAGAGATGGAGCTTTTTTAGAGCGTGTCTCAGAGTCACAGCCTGGTAACGGAGGGCTCACTGCGATCAGAGTCCTAAGAAGGCGGCACCAGTCAGTGTCAAATTGTATCCAGGCTTCATGAAGGCAACGATGCTAGTGTTCTGTTAAGTGCGTTTAGTTCTTACACAAATGAGGACTTCACTTATTTAAAAAGAAGACTGCTACCCGAGCAAAATGAACCATAAGATTTTATCTGAATGACTTTCGCTGAAGAGGGCTGAAAAATAAAAAACCAAAGAGTAACTTTTCCTTTGAAATTTTGACTCAGAAAAAAATAAAAAACAGTAGAGTTCCTGCATTCTCTTCACCGTGTTCCCCTTGGTGTGATCCTCTTACGTAACTGTAGTGAGATCACCGGAAATGACCACTGACCCAAGCTTCCTTTGCATTTTGCCAGCTGTCTCATACGGGTCTCTTTTCTGATCCAGAATCCAATCCAGGATACTTGCATTTGGTGGTCAAGTCTCATCCAATCTGTAACAGTCCCTCAGTTTTTTTTTTTTTTTTTCCACAACATTGACAGTCTTGAAAAATATTAGTTATATTGTAGAATGTCCCTCAATTGGGTGTGTCCGGTGTTTTCTGAGGAGTACCACCAAGGTGACAGGGAATGCGTCTCATTACTAGTGCCATTCACCTTGATCACTTGGTAAGGCCATGTCTGCCCTGTGAAGTCACCATTATTCCCTCTGTGACTATGAGCATCTGGTAAATGTAGGGGAGGGACAGGGAGGATGAGATTTAGGCAAACACCTCACTATATTTTTGCCCAGTAATTTTAGTATCGATTGATGTCCTTTTGACTATAATAATTATTACTGTGCTGATTTTGCATTTCCATCCATTTATTAATTGGAATTCTACTGTAAAGAGGAGCTAGCAGGGGCTGGTGCTGTGGAATAGTAGGTTAAGTCTCTGCCTGTGGTGCTGGCATCTCAAATGGGCGCTGATTCAAGTTCTGGCTGCTCCACTTCCAATCTAGCTCTCTACTAATGGCCTGAGAAAGCTGTAGAAAATGGCTCAATTGCTTGGGCCCCTGCACCCACATGGGAGGCCCAGAGGAAGCTCCTGGCTCCTGGCTCCTGGCTCCTGGCTTGGGATTGGCCCAGCTCCAGCTGTTGCGGCCATTTGAGGAGTAAACCAGTGGATAGAAGACCTCTCTCTGTGTCTTGCCCTCTCTCTGTCTCTAACTCTGCCTCTCAAATAAATCTTTTTTTAAAAAGAACTAGCTTTTCTGATATTAAAAAATTGATATTTAATTCATGGTTTTGAAAGTTTTTTTAAAATTAACAGTCTTACCCCAAAGATTACTTATTAATTACAAAGAATTATATAACTGCACTGGGGAGATCTGAGAGACATCACTTTAACCAAATGATCAAACCAGGTTCCTGCATGTTTTCTGAGCGATGTAAGGGGGCACACACATACTCCACTACACAGTATTGTTAACAAAACCTTTAACCTGGATCTAATCATGATCAAGGCAAAACCAGACTGTGGGTCATGCGGTAAGGGACATGCAGAAGTCCTGAAAGATTCCCAGTAGTGAAAGATCAAAACAAAATGACAACAAAACAGCTGGGAGACTGTAGTACAGAGAAAAGATACACCTCAACCAAACTGCATACTCCTAGATCAGGGGAAACTAGCAGTAAAGAGCACTTTGCAGACAACAGAAGTAATGTTGTGAATATGACTTCTATATTAAATAATAGCTGCATCAATGTTAAATGTCTTGAATGTGATACTTCAAGTTATACAGACAGATGTCTGTGTTCTTAGTATTTGGAGGTAAAATCTTATGATGTCCCCACTTTCTGTTTCTGTAGAGACAGAGGACACATTTTCCTTATTCTTCCTGCTGTGTCCAATCGAACACCCTGGATGTGACATAGAATGAGCACAGAAGACTGCGTGGTGGAGAGAGGAGGCGGACAAGCGGACCCGGAGACCCAAGGAACATCACAGTGCTGACTTCTCCAGGCTTCCTCTGTGCCTCATACATCCTGATGTGGAGCTGAGGAAACTGGCAACTAGAAATGCAAGGGATGCAGAACTCCCCTGCTCCCCTAAAAAGGAAAAAACTCAAAAGATCAACAAAGGTGAACCTCAGCAAGGCAGAAACCTTTAATCAACAACCATACCCCAGCCTAACATCATCCTATCCACAACCACATCATCAATAGCGAGTGTGGGACCAGGACACTGAAAAGAGGCATCCCACACCCCGCCTCACGTGGCTTCAGAACGGGCAAGCAGGGAGGCAGGATTTTCCTTCTCACTGGATGGGAACCCGCCCCGCCCACTCCCTCCCTCAGTGATGTCAGTAGAGATCATGTCTGGTGCGGACATCTATCTCCGTCCATCAGCAACAAGGCAATGGATTTCTCCCCAGCAACAAGACAGTGGACTTCCCATCAGAACCTGCAGAGGTCAGAAACAAGTGGAAGATCTCTTGAGTGCTGAAAGAAAAGAGCTATCAAGCCAGAATCTGATATCCAACAAGAACAGCCTTTAGGAACAAAAGGGACAATAAAAAACATTCTCAGACAAGAGAAGGCTGAGAGAATTTGCTGCCAACAGATGCGTTATGGTTTGGACATTAGTTTGGGTGTCCCAGAAAGGTGCATGTGTAGGACATGGCCCGTACAGTCTTACGCTAATGGTCCAAAGAGTGTGGAAACTTGATCCAATTATGGTGTTTAGAAGTGGGGCCTCTGAAGTGATCCTATTGGACCAGGTTGTTGGGCAGGGTCTCCATGACTGAATCGCGGTGACTACATAAGGACAGACACAGCCAGATACGTGTTCTCTCTAGCCATGTGATACCTGGGGACAGCACCAGCAAGAATGCCATCACCAGATGCCAAACCAATAGGGACACCTGATTTTGGCCTGTGAAATCTCCAATACCATGAGCCAAAGTGAACCTCCTCCCCTCCTAAGCAGCTTGTCTTCAGTATTTTGTTGCAGTCATAAAAAGCTGACTACCATAGAATAGCTAAAGGAAGCCCTCTAGACACTAAGGAAACAATAAAATGAAGAACCCTTGGAACACTGAGAATGAAAGGACATGGCAAGCAAAAATATGGTTAGGTGTGATAGCCTTTCCTTTTCCTTTTGAATTTTCTCAATTTTGTCAAATGGTTGAAGCAAAAATTGCTATAAGATTGTCTGATGTGGCTTTAAAATATGTGTAGATGAAATATTTAAGGCAATTGTGAATAGGTGAAGGCAAAATGACATCTATGGAGGTAAAGTGTCTGCCTTTCATGAGAACTGATAAATGATGACACAAGGAGACTGATAGGTAACCACCTAAAAAGCTATAGAGATGCTCTCAAAGACATGACATGCAAGTTGAAATAGAATTCTAAGCAAAATGTTTAAGTAATCCACACATGGAAAGACAGGAAAAAAACAGAAAAACAAAAGGTAAACCCTAACATCCATAATTATTTCAAATGTCATTGGCCTGAAAACAGCAATCAAAACACAGATATGGGCAGAGCAGGCTAAAACCGTGAACTAACTCTGCTAACACACACACACACACACACACACACACACATTGTAAATGTCATCATTCACTTTAAATGCTACAGCAAGTCAAAAGTAAGAGAATGGAATAAGATATATCACAATGCGTTAATCAAAATAAAGCATGATATATTAATATCAAATAAGTAGAAAAACATTTCAAAGCAAAGAAAATAACCAGAGACAGAGAGGGACATTATACAATGACAAATGGGTCAATCCACCAAGATGACACAGCAATCCTAAATGAGTAGGAACCAACAACTTAGCTGAAAAATATGTGTAGCAAAAGTAGAACTGAAATGAGAAACAGAAAAATCCACAATTCAATACCCTTCTCTCAATAAGATCAGAAAATCAATAAAATTAAAAACAATAGGAAAAAAAATCTATGAAACCAAGAACTGGTTCTCTGAAAAAGATCAATGAAATTTTAACAAGTAAGACTGACAACAGAAAAAAAAAATGACCTGTATCATAAAGGAAGCAGGGTATCACTACAGACTGTGTAGACATCAAAAGGGTGGTGAGAGAACACTACAACCAACTCTACACACATAAATGTGTCAACAGATTGAAACAGATCACTCCCTCAGAAACCACAGCTTTCATAATTCACCCAATATGACACACATAATTTGGACAGCCCCATAACTACTAAGGATATTGAATTTAAGACTTAATACAAAGCTACAGTAATTAAGATTGTGGGAGGCTGGCGCTGTGCTGCAGTGGGTTACAGCCCCAGCCTGCAGCACCGGCATCCCATATGGGTGCTGGTTCGAATCCCGGCTGCTCCTCTTCTGATCCAGCTCCCTGCTAACATGCTTGGGAAGAGCATCAAATGATGGACCAAGTCCTTGGGCCCCTACACCCACGTGGGAGACTGGGAATAAGCTCCTGGCTCCTGGCTCCTGGCTTCAGATTGGCTCAGCTCTGGCTGTTGTGGATATCTGGGGAGTGAACCAGCAGATGGAAGACCTCTCTCTCTGTCTCTACCTCTCTCTGTAACTCTGTCTTTCAAATAAAAAAAAGACTGTGGTTCTTGTGAAGGGATAGACATTCAATCAATGGGACAGAACACAGAATCACTGAACAGTACCATATAAATATGCCCATTCAGATTTTTGGCAAAGGTGTGAAAGCAATTAAATGGAGGAAAAAGTAGCCGTTTCAACAAATAGTGCCATTTGTAGGCAAAAAACAAACAAACAAAAAAAACCCTAAGAGAACTAAATCTCTCATATTATATAAAAATTAACTCAAAATGGATCATGAGCGTAAATGTAAAACCTAAAATGACAAAACCTCTCTGGCCTTGGAAATGTGAGTACTAGTCTCTATGTCATCCAAGTACAAAATTCTCTCCTCCGTAAGTCTCGCATCTCCTGTCTTCCATCCTCATGAGGCTTCTTTCTCAAGTGCTATTTTTTCCCCTCACTGCCATTACCATACTTTAGGCCCTCAGTACTCTCTGCCCATAGTAACAGAATCATCTCCCAGTGAAGTTTCTTGAGTCCAATCTCTGCTGGATTAAGCACCCTAAAATATTGTATTCAAAGACTTTCCCCCAAGGTACAAAACCACTAGCCTAGAGCCTAGAAGATGGATAATTGGTCATGCAGAAAATCTAGAAGTAGCCTTATTGCCATAAGGCAGGTGGTGTCCCCCCACTGAAGCCCAGGCACAGAGAGAAGGTTAACACTGGGACAGGTTAAGTCACCATCTGTGATGCCCAAAGCTGTACTTTCGGTACAGCTCCCTGCTGGTGCACCTGGGAAACAGCAGTACTTAAGTTCCCACCACCCATGTGGGAGACCCAGAGGAAGTTCCTGGCTCCTGGCCTTGTCCTAGCCCAGTCCTGGCTACCATGGCCATTTGGGGAGTCAATCAGTGGATAGAAGATCAATATTTTCTCTTTTTCTCCTCTCTTCCTCTCTCCTCCCTCTCCCTTCCTCTCCCCTCCCCAATCTCCTCTCTCTCTCTCTGCCTTATAAATAAATAAATATTTTAAAAAACTGCAACAACAACAATAAAAAGGTTAACATCAAGTTCCCTGAGATCTATGTCTACTCAAAATGGAGATGTAGGCCACAAAGTTAACAGAGGCTCATGTTACAAGAAAGGCAAAGAACTCAGACATTATTCTTCTTATTTAAAAAGTACAAGCAGGGCAAGTGCTGTGGTACAGCGAATTAAGGTGGTGTTTGGGTGTCTGCGTCCCATACTGGTCTGATGGCTGGAGTCCCAGCTACTCTGGTCCCAATGTAGCTCCCAACTAATGCACCCAAGAAGCAGATGATGGCTAACGTGCCTGGGCCCCTGCCACCCATATGGGAGACTCAGATGGAGTTCTGGGCTCCTGCCTTCAGCCTGTTGTGGGCACTTGGGGAATGAACCAGTAGATGGACGATCTCTGTCTTTCTGTTTCTCCCTCTCTTTCTGTGTGTCACTCTGCTTTTCAAACAAATATATACATCTTTTAAATGTACAAGTAATTATTAAAATTGATACCTGAAACAATAAAGAAGTGTTTTTACAAATGGGAGAACACCTACCTGGTAAAGGCAGGCTGCTGTTCCAAGGAAAAATGCAATGATGTAATTAAAATCCTCACCATCACTCTGTAAAAACAAAAATAAAAGCTGACATTTTTCTTAGTGGATATCTATTTCCAAAACAATTCATCAGGATTAGCTATGACAATGTTTATGCATTCAAAATTTCTACAAAGCAGTACATAAAAATTCTCAAGTCCTAAAACAGAAACAAAAATATATCATTTGACCCAAGAAATATGAGGCAGAGGAAGACTACAAGTGCTCCTCTATGTTGGTTTCATTTCACCGAAGGTGAACACCACTGAGGAAATGTCTTCAAAGTCATGTAAAGCCTCTCTCCTGCTAAAGAAAACACATAAAGACACATGACCACCAGTGGCGAACCAAGTTATTTGTGTTCACTGGGGTCACTTACGTCAAATAAACATGGAAAACCTTCACTACCTAGTAAGCATACGACTGAAGTATCCCATAAGTATGATTAATTTGGGGCCAGTGTTAAGGCATGGCAGGTTAAGCCACTGTCTGACCACAGCATCCCATATGGGTGCTGGTTGGGGTTCCGGTTGCTCCACTTCCAATCTAGTTCCCTGCTAATGTGCCTGGGAAAGCAGGAGAAGATGGCCCAAGTATTTGGGCCCTTGCACTCACATGAGAGAAAGGGAAGAAGCTCCTGGCTCTTAGCTTCAGCCTGGCTCAGCACTGACTACAGCAGCACGTGGAAGCTTTCTCTCTGTCTATAACTACGCCTTTCAAATAAATAAATACATCTTTTAAAAAAAAAGTATGAATAATTTGCCACAATTTTGGAAAAAAACAACCTGACAACTAAAAAGCTACTGTCCACTAGAGTGTGCTAAATGCATGCTATGCTAAAGAAACAGCCCACCCAGAGGGAAAACAGATGGTGAGCAGAATATTTCTCTGAAAACTAACAGACACATGTAACAACCCATGCTTTCCTACTCCCTTTCAGTTCCTGTTAAATATCTACATTCATCAACTTCTTCTAAGGTATTCAGGAAGTAGAACATAAAGTTCAGGCAGGAATATTACATTTTTTTCTGCCAGGTATGAACACTAAATTTGGTCCTTATCTTAGAAAAAAAATCTTTTACACAATGAAAACTTCTACAAGACACATGAGTAGTATCCATGAAAAGTTCTTAAAACAGCACAACGAGAAAATCCCCTTTGCACTGTTATTGGGCAGCAGAACTGACTGTATAGAAGGCAGAAGTGGAGTGGCTTACTGCAATGAGGTCTTAAAGCAGGAACCATCAGCTGGCTGGCTGCCCAGAGCAGTTATACTCCAGAGGCAGGCAAGGTCAACATGTAATGTTCCAACTTTAACAACTCTAAGACTTTACATAAGTTAGGCTTGATTATTTGCTGTAGTCCTTTATTTTTAAAATGACCCATTTTTTCTGATTATAAAAGTTCATGTCCATTGTAGAGAATTTGTAAAATACAGATTATACACAGAAGAAATTCATATAAGCCATAAATACCACAACTCTGAGAACTAGGGCTTTTTCATGTATTTCTTTCTGGTGCTTATGTGTGTGTGTGTACATTTTTAAGAAATGGAATGATACTTTTATATACTGCTGTTTAGTACTTTACATACTATCATAAATACTTCTGCAAGACAATAAGTATTCTTCAACCACAGAATCTATAATGACTGTATAACTTTTCATTGTGGGGCTACCTCACAATTTAATTAGTGTCCTACAATTGGGCATTCTATTTTTTCTAAATTTGCGCTATCATTTTATAACTTTCTCCATTGCTTCTGGAACACTTGAGTGCACATTTCTAAAGTCAGCCAGTCCTGGGTTCATGTCTTTACTTATAAGCTATATGATTTTACACCACTTATTTAACTATAACTTCTTCTACTGTAAAAAAAGTTATCGAGATTAAATGAAATAACATTTATTTGCACATACATATGAGGGGACTTGAAAAAGTCTGTGGAAAATGGAACACTCTAGATTTCCCACATGGGTGGCAGGAATCCAACTACTTGAACCATCACTGCTGCCTCCCAGGATTGGCATCAAAGATGAAAATATGAAGGGGGAGTGGAAGAAGAAAGCTGGAATTGGGAGCCAGAGACGAGAACTGAACCCAGGTGCCCTGATGTGGGATGCGGGCATCCCAACAGGCGACTTCATCAATAGACAAAGCATCCACCTTGCCACAAACCTTTTCAAGTACCCTTTCCGAACAGTATACTATAAGCACACATACACGCCCTACTTTCTCCCTGGGGTTGTTGTCTGTATCACTCATCTGATGCACTGCCCTCAGTGTTGCCAAATCCCCTAATATACTTATCTTCTTAATTGTCTTCTTAACTAGATGCTAGTCTTTCTTTCTGTGAAAGACACACATACATACACACACACACACACACACACACAGAGGGTAGGGGGAGGAGAGATGGAGACAGAGAGAGCTCCCACCCACGGGTTCACATCCTAAATGCCCACAAGGGGGCCATTGCCAACGCTGAGACAAGGAATGCTCTGATCTCCCACATGGGTGGCAAAAATCCAATTACTTGAGCCATTCCCTTGCCTCCCAGGGTCTACAGGAGTAGGAAGCTGGAGTCAGGAGCCAGATCCAGGAATCAAACCCAGAAACTCTGATATAGAATATAGATGCATTAACTAATAGGCTAAATGCCTACTCGCAGATTCTATTCATTCTTAAAGGCAGAAAACTAAAGTTTAGTATTTGCATGAAATAGTGCACACAATAGGAATTCAACAAACATATGCCAAATTGAGTTGAACTTGGAAAAAGTTTAATTCTACTCAATAAAGAAAGGGTTGTTCATAAACATATTCTTCCATTCAATAAATATTCCTTAAGTACTTATGAACCCAGTACTGTGTACACTAGACCCAGGCCAGAAAACAAAGTCCACACCAATGCAAACTGTTCACTTGCTAATTAAGAAGGAAGATACTAAATCAACACTTCCCATCAAAGTAATGACTGATGGGATGGGTATGTGTCTAGGGGAGCTCACTGGAGAGGCATGCACAGCTCTGTCTGGATTAAAAAAGAGGTCAAGGGAGGTTTTCTTTAGGAAGGTTTAACCTGGCTCTCGAAGACAACAAGTTAATAAGGCAGCAGAGAACTGCAGGCAAGCGGAGTAGCACTTAACAGTCTCCAAGAGGGAGGAGGTAGGGAAGGCTTCCAATACTGTCTACTCTGTAAATAATACAAATGAAAAACAAAGGCCATGCAGCCACCAAGAAGAATGGACTCAGGGCCAGCATCGTGGCGAAGCAGGTAAAGCTGCTGCTTAGAATGCTGGCATCTCACATGGGTGCCAGCTCTAGTTCCAGCTGCTCCGCTTCCAATCAAGTTCCCTGCTAATAAGCCTGGGAAAGCAGCGCAGAATAGCCCAAGTGCTTAGGCCCCCTCACCCATGTAGGAAATCCGAAAGAAGCTTCTGGCTCCTAGCTTTGGATTGGCACAGCTCCAGCACTGTGGTCATTTGGGGAATGAATCAGTAGACAGAAGATCTCTCTCTCTCTTTCTCCCTTTCTTTCTGTAACTCTGCCTTTCAAATAAATAAATAAATCTTTAAAAAAATAAAAAAGAATGGATTACACCTATAAGTGCTGATATGAAATGACCTCTGACGTATGGTGTGGTGAAAAAAAGATGAAAATCAGTAAAAAGGGTATACTACCATTTGTGAACAATATTTAAAAAGAATAACTGCATAAGTAAATACATAAATACAAACTTGCTACCACATGCACATAATGTCTCTAGACGGATATGCCAGTGGTTGAGTCTGAGGAGGAGAAATGGGAAAAGAACAACTTTTTCTCCTGAAAATTACATATCGACTCTTATAAGCTCTGAAATACACCGTGTGCATACCTCACTGTGTATATGTATGCATGCATAGGTATTAACTTGTTTAAAAGGCCACTGTGAAACCAACCAAGGAGAAGGGGCAGGGTTAGAAGACTATAAAGCAAAGGGAAAGAAGACTGGAGAATGCCACTATTCAAAGGACAGATGGAAGAAGAAAGTTTATCAAATGCACCAAGGAATAGGAAGACAAAGAAAAAAACAAAAGGAGAGAGAATGGTTTCATGAGAATGAAGGGATGAGAGCTGGTCAAGAAGAATCAATACATTAAACTACTGGTGTCGACTTATTATTTTTGCTTCTAAGTTTTCTAAAATAGACATTATCCTTCTGAAATAAAACAAAGAGCTATTTGGAAAAGAGGAGAACGGTATGTGAGATGAGGAACAAAGGACATGTAAATGTGAGAAAGACTGCAGAATTTGGTAAGCAGAAAGATCCCGGTGTGTCAGAGTTATGGGGGCAGACTAAGAAAATAGAGGAAAATGGAGAGGGGACAATAAACACAGTCCACCCTTGCAAAAAATTAGAAAAGAGGGGCCAATGCTGTGGCATAGTAGGTTAAGCCTCTACTGGTGGTGCCAGCATCACATGTGGGCGCTGGTGCATGTCCTGGCTGCCCACTTCCTATCCAGCTTTCTGCTATGGCCTGGGAAAGCAGAAGATGGCCCAATTGCTTGGGCTCTTGCACCTGCGTGGAAGAACTAGAAGAAGCTCCTGGCTTCTGGCTTTGGATCGGCCCAGCTCTGGCTGCTGCAGTCATTTAGGGAGTGAATCAGAGGATGGGAGACCTCTCTCTGTCTCTCCCTTTTCTCTGTCTGGAACTCTAACTCTTGATTAATAATTTTTTTTAAATTAGAAGATAACATACATCAAGAGGCTTTTTTGTTTTCTTCTGCTGTTGCTTTGTTAAAGAACAGCAGGTCTGAAGGGAGTCAGTGGAGAGGAGGCAGACGAAACACGGGTGAGGAGACAACCAGAGTTAGGATGGCGCAGAGCCTGGGAAGAGAGGTAAGGAGGAAAGGGAGGTGTTGGCAGAGGATGGTTCAGAGGAAAAGTTCAGGTAAAAATTTGCAAATCATCACTATCCACCTTTGGAAGATGCTAGGGTATCCACATATTACTTAGAAAACTAACAGAGCTAAGGACTATTT